TAACAGTGATTTACTGCAAGGCATAAATTTTGTTGTAATTGTTTTAATGATTAAATAAAATAGGAAGTTTAGATTCAGAGAAGAGGAGTACTGTTATCACCGTTGAATTTTAAAACAAAATCAACACTACTGTGCAGCTACAAGTGATACTTCATGGCTGAATGAGAAATTGTCAAGAGAGCCATAACAGGAAACAAGCAGAAAAGTAATCAACACACATCCATCTTAAAATGACATCAAAACAATTGGTCATTGCATAAACTTCATTTCGAAGATTCACACCTCTTAATTCTGTTTACATTTCGAAAATTCTTCAAATTTCTTTTTTTCCCTTGCGTTACAAATCAGAAACTAAAAAAATGAAAAACTGAACAATAGTCAGCACACATCCATCTTAAAATGACACAAAAACAATTAGTCATTGCATGAACTTCATTTCGAAAATTCATACCTATTCTGTTTACATTTCGAAAATTCTTCAAATTTCTTTTTCTCTCTAGCGTTACAAATCAGAAACTAAAAACTGAAAAACTGCCTTCAGCTTTGAGTTAAATCTCACATTTTCTACATTTATTTTGTCTATCAAAGTTCAAACACCTGGTAGTAAATAAGTTTCTGGTAGTAAATAAGGGATCAATTTAATGATATGATTCCTGAATTTTAACTAACTTTGGAGAAATATACTCCAACGAGATATTTGAGAAGACAGGATTTTCAGCTTCACCCACACGCTGTTAGGTTCAAAGGGCGTTACCTGCCAGCAATAGTCCCTCCCACTATGGCCGCTACGTCACCGGGTGCAGATACCTGGGCAAGGCCATATTAAATTTATAAAGGAAGCGTGTGGTTATTTCTTTCACCATGGAAGGAAGTGCGTTTGCCTTCATAGAATTCAACAGCTTCCGATCAAAGTTATCTGAAACTTAATTATAAAATTTTCAAATGCACTAGCTAAATCGCCACGTTTTCCTCCTTACAAGTTTTCTAATTACTTTTTGAAAGGTGTATGGTCCTCCTTGAGAGGAGAAACAGTTTCGAATTTGTGAAAAAGTAAAATCCAGGTTTTAAAACCACCTTTCCATTCTTGAATAATAGAAAACGAAAATAAATAATTTGAAATATTTATTCGGAAATACGCAGAGAGATCTTAGAAAATGTTCATTTAAATTAAGTTCGTCCATATACGTAACTTAAGAAAGAGAAATAGAATAATTTAAAAAAAAATCGAATGGAAATAGATCAAAGACGTATTTAGAATTTCAATAATCCTCATTAAGTGACAAGATTGCAATTAAAGTCAATTTTATTCATTTCGACAGCAGCAAAATGCATAAAAGTTCAACGCTGTAAAAGAGTCAGCGACATTAAACTACTTATATACTTTTTTTTCTCTATAAATGCTGCAGTTTTAAAAATTCGTTTCGAAGAAAGTCTCCTGTTAGCAGAAGCTGCAATATGGTTTTGCATTTCGAGGAAACAGCCTTTTTGAGAAAATCCAATGTTTTAACAGCATTTTTCTCGCATCTCTCATTTTAAATACACACAGATTCATCGTCGCAAAATACACAAGTGCGTTGTAGGTTTGGGTAAATATGTGAAGCTCATCGTATTTAAGTGAGTTTTCTAAAGCCCGAAATCAAGATCGCTTGCCTCTCAGTGAGATACAGCATCATAATACAAAATTCCATGTTGTGTTGCGCCTTGAAATTCTTTATTGAATATGTTAACACTTGCAAGTCACATTTTCGAAGAAATTATGCAGAAATCTAATGGAGGAGTAAATGCAAACTTTTCTTTGGATTGTTAAATTGTACAATTTAAGTATGGGAAAATACGGCTTACGGGATGCTCAACTTCTGCTCTGCGTGATGGAGAGCTATTAACTGCGCTACATTCGCAGAAAAAGATAAATGATTCTACTTCATTTTACAAATAATACTTTATGAAAAGTTTTTTGATTCGTATATATTGCTTATATTAATGCTGATTGTTTACACATTTAAATTTCCAAGGGACAATGATTTTTATTTATATGTACATTAGTATTGTCAGGACTTGTGTTTCTCTTGATTTGCTTTGGAAACATGAATGATCTTGAATAGGAACAGGAAGCTTACTCAAGCTATGTTCAAGAAGGTGTGAAGTAGACAACACAAGCAGGAAGGGTATACGAAACCCTTTATTTTCAATCTTTTACAGGCACTTCCGAACTTCGGAATACAGAGACCAACCACTTGTGGTCTGAACGTAAGAATATAAAATACTAACTAAAACTCTAACTAAAAGCTAACTTTGAATTAGAATACAAATGCCTAGCTCTAAGACTGGCCTTTATTTAAAAAAGGTACGTATGTAGTACGCCGAGCTGCTAAAACTACAATACGCTTGCAAATATCAAGAGGGCTAAACCCCTGGCTTTAAAAGCAACCAGCAACCGATGAAATCTCATAAAACTGCAGTGGCAAGCGGCTTGCTTCTTAAAACTCCTTCTCTCTCCCGCTTGGCAAAAAGCCACAACTTAAGTATTTGGGCGTTAGCAAGACAATTTGCACAAACAAGTTAAAGAATTTAATTCTGGCCGGAAGTAGAAAATAAGAAGTGATAGTACAGTTTTAAAATAAAATAAACGTTAGTGAAACTTAGGATCCTTACAGTACAAAACAAACCATCAGATTTAAGTTCATCAAATAATGAATATCGAAATCTGTCTTAATTCATATTATTTGCCTTCATTTATATCATTAGCCTTTAACAAAAATCATATTCCATTTTTATTAAGCAGGCAGCTCTAGTGCTGATTGCCTAGCAATAAAACTGTTTTAAAACGAGAAAAGTTTAAAAACATTAACCATCCAAAACCGTATTCATAAACCATATATTTCAAATGACTATCAATTTTATTGCCCTTCGTTTTAGGTATTAGCCAGCAACTAATGCCTTTTCTTAAACCGACTCCAAATTTGCAGAATATATCAAAGAACAAAAAAGAAACAGGAAAAGCTTCCTCTACCGTAAAAGAATTAGGCAGGTGTTTTAACACAAAAAGGAAAGCAGGAGAAGAAAAGCATTTTACATTAGCTTCTTTAATGAGTTTGTAAAATTGTCCAGAGAGAGAAATTAAATGTTGGCGCAGATCCTCCCACCCAACGCAGATGGTTGCTGCTGAGTTGTATTTTAGCAAGAGACACGCTTACAACATGCTTTCACAGTGTTTCCCACACATACACACGCACTCACTTCTTTACTAATAGATTTTTGTGACTTCCGCTGATGGGAACAAAAACAGCTGAAAATTGTTGCCTATAATATTAATGCAGTTGTTTACAACAATGGTCGGAAGTAAAACTGTAACCTCAGTTTTGCTTTTCTCATTGCACTTTCAATCGCAAAACTGTTTATTCAGACAATTAAAATTAATTGACAAAATCACAAGAGCGCAAAACGAATTTGAATTTATATTCAGCATTAATGCATTACATCGTGATCCGAAACGCAGATTTTGATACTTCTACAGTTTCCAAACTGTTTTGCTCTGATACTCTTCTATGGCCGCTCATGAAATTTTACCTTTGATTGTTAATCACTAGCCTTATTATTAGATCACGTAAATAAAACAACTTTTATTAAGTACAATACTGCCTTATCTTTCTAACCAGATGATTTTGCAAATCGTATCCTGTCCAATAAGTGATTCGTGTTTCCCTTCTGCGTTTAAATCATTCCCATTCACTACTTAATTTAAGTCATTGTCATTCAGATTTAAGTCATTGAGCGCGTGAAGTTATTCTTTACTCTGTCTTTCTAAGAATATTTCTCTCTTTGCCTCCCCTTTTTTGTTATTGTTGTTTTGATGTTTTTTTTAAATCAAATGCAGGAAACGAATTTGACATAAAAAATCATGATTACTAATTAATTGCTGTTAACAGCAATCAAATGTATGATTTCTTCTTTCAAACTGGCGTGTCACTCTTACTTCTGTTAACCACGACTTATCTTTCTACAGACTAAAGAAGATATTTTATGATCTTAACTTTTCCCATTTTCAGTGTCACATCTGACTGTGTAATTTTAAAAAATAAATCTAAAAATAAATATCCCTTCAGCGTTTAAGTTTTCACTTGAGAATCATTCATTTTATATGCTATTCAAATATTCAAGTGCAAACGGTTACAGTGCGCAAGGATGGAAATGCAAATAAAAAAATATGTAGTGGTTTTGTTTGTTTAAGAACACAGCAAAGTACACTAGGGCTACTTATCTAAACGGATGGATGCTTTCGTGGAGGATTTTCTAAAGGAATATATGTTACACATGGGAAAAACCGCAAAACCATCTAAGTAGTCAGCCGTTTGTCGGAATACGGTGCCGAGTCGAACAACCAGTGTTTACAGGTCTTATACACTCAGATACTAGTGGGTCTCTTAGGAGACTGATTGAAAGATAACTACATATGATTAAAACCAGATAAAAGTATAAAGTGTATGCATTTAAAAGTCTAGATAAGTCAAAATCTAAAAACAAAAAGAGAAATTTTTGCAAAAGAGAAATTATCCAATAGCATTCATACGATGAAAAGCTATTTCAAATGCATATATCTTTATTAAAACCCAAAATAAATGACAGTTAGTGATGTAAAGAAATGAAAAGTCTGATTTTCAACACATCTCTGCTTCTCTTTGACTAAGAGAAGGAAATAAAGCACAGAAATAAATAGAGGCTATGTTAATATTAATCAAGGTATTGAAGAAATAGCTAGAAGATGATGCAAAATGAAAAAGAACAATGGTTCTTGTGCAATAAGATGTAATCAAAATTCTTTTATCACAATGGTGAAACGATTAAATTTCAAAATATTTAAAAAGAAATTTTTAAATTGAGAAGAACACTTTTCGAAAGAATATTTGCAATAATATTCTATTTCATCGGACAATAAAAAAAAAAAAAAAAAAAAAAAAAAAAAAAAAAAAAAAACTTAAAAAATATAACAAAAGAGGACTTACCGAGAAAAGCGTCCCAAGCAAAAGACACAGGTCCATCTTGAGATTTTTGGTCGTGACTAGAATTTAAAACAAAAATTAAATTAGACAAAGGAATGTAAATATGTCATTTCAAAGCAACAATTATTTTGCACTGAAAGTGAATATTTGCTTTATTAAGAAACTGCAAGCTGAGAAAACAGTGGCGGCTAACAATTCGCTTGACTAACCCTGATACGCACTTCCCTCATCATTATTTGCTTTTGACCTCATTTCTGCAGAATCATTTGGATCTTTTATTTCAGTCTCAAATTGCATACCATACTAAAGAAAGTGAATAATGAATTTTTAGTCAAAATTATGATGTAAACACATCTCGCCTTTACCGAGTCTAATCACAGGTATACACTCTCAAATAAAAATTATGTTTGATTACGTAAAGATTCGCAACGTGATGCGATTCTCTCTCTATATATATAACACAAACAGAGTTAAAAAAATATAGAGTAAATTTCATTGGATCTGATTTTTTTAAAATTTCAAACAGCATATTGATATTTTTAAGGCCATCATTACAGTATATAAACAAATAGTTGTTTTACTCATTAAACTTATAAGGTATTTCTCCCGTCTTCTTAGCATGCCTTCGTAGTGTAGTGGTCAGCATCCTGGGGGCGTATTCTAGAGGTCCGTGTTCGATTCCCGGCAAAGGCGTTGATCATTTTTCATCTCTCCTGTTTCGAAATAACTTAATGGCTCTATACTGCTGACAAAGTCCTACGAATGTATTGTGCATTGTTACTCCTTAGCAGACAGAATATGAGCTCAGCTATTTCTGTGTTCGTTTGGAGTGGATAATTTAATTTACACAAAGAAGGGCCATCTCCCTAAGTTCCATTTCAGGGGATGAAATCCAAGACTCTCTTACTCCTCTACTCATTCATTAACCTTTCGAGCGGAATTTTGGATTGACATATTTTGTGCATAGATATACTACGGTCACAAATGTCTATGCTTTACCCAGGACTGAAACCGGGTTCCAAAGGCCTATGAAGTCAGCCTCTATTAACGATGCGACTCCAGGTTTGTTTGGAGACCACACTTTCTAAATTATAGTTACACGAAAATGAGTAATGACATACAGATCTCCATCTTACAGTTTCAAAGTTAAATATTTTAATTGATTTTGTGTAATAACTAATTCTAAGCCTATTGCCTAAAATTCATTAACTAAGAGAAAACTGGAAAAATATTACCCGGACTCTCAGTTCAAGGGCATCATTCGGACATTATAAAGAAAATGTGCCAGATATGGGTGAATATGCCTTACTTCAGGTAAAATTTAATGTGGATCACAAAGTAAGGAAAAAAGATAAAAAGAAAGAGCTTACGAATATTTTTCATGCAGCTCGGCTTATTCTGTGTGTGGTAAAGGGATAGGTAAGCGTATCCTGATAATAAGTCGTACATTCTGAAATGCTAATGAGAAGTGCCAGATCTTTGATAAATGATTTGGTTATTTACAATCTTCTAGCAACGTCCTCAAATTTCAAAATTACCGAAATTCTGGGTATGAAAGAGCCAATTCCATATAAAATAATAGGCACCTATCGGGTGGGGAAGTGTTTTGCTTCTAAATATGGGAACTAAAGCGGAAACAGGAACAGTGATATGGAGTCTTCATTGAAGAAAGTAAAAGTGTGGCAAAACAGATACTAGCCGAAATCAGTATCAGACGAGATGTTTTATAAAAGCAGACCTATTCGTCAGGAATTTCAGGAAACAGGCTGTAGAGACATTAGGTATTTTTTGGAAGCAGGAGAGATTGAAAAATTAGCAAACGCCTTCGCCGGGAATCGAATTACGGACCTCAGGAATACCGGACCAGCCTTCAGAACCACTACACCACGAAGGCACGCTAGGAAGGCGGGAAAAATACTTTATAAGGCAGCATTCTAATTTAAGGCCTTAGCAATCGGAAACTTCATTTTGTTTCGGCAAATAGTCATTTCCTGGTTTCCCCGCTACAGAAGGTATCCAGCAGATGATATATCGTACTGAACTGCATGATTTCAGCTGTAAATATTAAAGCAGGTTTTTGATGATGTAGCCTTCTGTGATGTGGTGCATTTAGAATTTTTGTTTTTCTGAATGCCTCAGGAACATGTATATTCAAAAATTTCCTAATGCAGATCCTAGCTTTATAAGATAAATCTTATTTGACATACAATAAAATATATCTCAAGCTGGTTTGATGACGCAAAGATGAGGCAAATCAGCTACTTTGATTTCTCATTCCTAATATTATAGAATTTGTATAGACACTTCATCAGCAGCAACTAATACCACGGTAATTGATATTTTGTGAAAGAAATGTATTTTCACCTTGTGTACGAAAGTTTTGTACAGGTGCTCCATACCCAATTACTGCTACTCCGAGGGCTGATGGTAGAACAACTAAATAAAGAGGTCAGTGCAGATGAAAGAGTTTCTATTATTTAGCTTATTACTTGCAAATTTGTGCTTGTACTTATTGCCTATAATAACGCCCAATAGCTCCCGAATATCTAGCAGGTAAGCATAACCGTTCACACAGCATTCACGTTAATAACATAGCGTATCCTGATAGTAATTTTATTTGTAGGAAAAGGTATCAGTTATTTAATTAATATATATATATATATATATTATTTAATTAAATTATGTGTTATTAATTAATATTTCAATAACATATATGTGTGTATATATTATTATTCCCACATTTTGCTTCTGAAACTGAATGTTTTAATCGCCTAAAATCGTCACTTTCTACAATGCATTAATAAGCAAACTTAGCGAAGGAAAAATAAATTTTAAAACAATGCTTACTTTCTTCACACATTTTCCGAACTCGACGCACATGAATAAAGTTCTTATAGAACTTGTATACCACGGTAGCAATTGAAAAAAGACATCCTTGTATAAATGTGTTTTCGAAAGATATATAAAATATGATAATTACAGAACCACGAATAATTACAGAAATTAAAAGTAATAACTATAGAAACCATTATTTAAGGTTTCTCTGATTTCTCATGCTGTTCTTAATGGAAAATAAAAATAAATAAGAAAATAAATAGGGGAAGAAAAAAGATTTTAAATGAAAAACATAAAAAGAAAAAAAAAAAACTCGAGGGAAAAGTAATGCAAATTTTAATCTGTTTGTGATTCGGTTCAGCTACCATCTTTATATACCGTTAACGGTGCATTCACCGAAATGTGCTCCAAGAGTGAACTTGATCATCAGCGGAAAAAAACTTACATATCAATGTAAACGCGCATTAAGTTTGCATTTTTTTATCGTACTTTGATAGTGTGGCTTCCCTCTCCCTACTAGTTTTATTTTTTATGTAAAAAATATTATTTCGGGAGCACAAATTATGTAAAGAAAAAAAATCCAAAAAGAATTTCGCTGCTTTGGTTGCAGTTTTTCAGAATAGTAATGAATGCTTTCAGTTTTTCCTGTTTTTTAAAGAAAAACTAAACGATCATGTTCGCGGCATTTCTTGATATGAGCACAAGAAGTGGCTTTTTTGACAATCCAAAGGTCAAAAGCAATAGACCAAAACTCACTTCCTGTTTGAAAGTTCCTGAGCTCAAAACGGGGAAGAGAAATAACTGACTTAACAGTAATAATCGAAGCTTGCTTATTTGGAAGTCACGTGCACAGAATGTTAAAAAAGAAAATAATAGAAGCTCAACTTCAGTGTTTAAGTTACTAAATAATTAAGGTAATGAAAAATTTTGTCCAACTAACTTCCTGTATGTTGATAATAGATAAAAATTTCGAAAAGTTTTGCATACCTACTGCAGTTCACCGAGTAAACGCTATGTTCGTGTTTGCGAGTGTACAATCTGCCTCAGTCAGAGAACATTTCTTATCAAAGTGCACATAAATGAATTTTGTTGGCTTATTAGTTAGGAAAGGAATGCTGTTTATTAATTTTAAGATTCTGTCAAATAGAGATCTTATATTTTAAGATACTTTCAGAACATTCCAAACATGTTTTAAGTTTCAAAAGTTTAATAGGAACACTCTCAATATTTGTATTTTTCTAAGAATACTATACAGTTCCTAGAGGCCCTGAAATACGAAACTGTGAAGTAGCGGTGAACGTTGCATAAAATCTTGCCACAATGAGAATGGAATGGTAGTTTTTCTTTTCCAAACTCTTGCGTCATAACACTATTTATAGTTATTAACATTCAGTTGAACATTTTCGTCCTTGGCATCATGGATTCGCAATGGAATGTGTCTGTCGTACATGATTGCAAAATAAGTTCATTATATTTCAGTCTCATTCCACTTCAGTTTTTTTCAATTCAGTTATTAATAAACTCCACTTTAGTATCGGTGTGTATCTAAACCTGATACAGTCAAGCGAAAAACGAAGCGACTGATAATTATTTTTTCTAACATAATGAAGCTACCTATCAGAGGAAAACATCAGGCACATTTATCCAGTGGCCTAGCGAGGGGGGGGGGGGCAAAGGGGTGTATGATGCCTCGGGCGCCGCTCGCAGAGGGGCGCCAAATGGTCTCCAAACAAGATTTTTCCGAAAATTTCAGTTTTTGTTTTGATCATTTTCTAGAAAATATATTTGAAATTAATAATTATTGTAATATAATTAATTATTTTCTTGACTTGTCTGATAAAATGTATAATAAAATGTTTACAGTACATCAACCAAATATCTCCTCATACAAAACGTTCTTTCTGACCACTTTATTTCTCTAAAATAGAGATGTATTTTTATTTTTTAAAACGAAATACACGTATAGTTCCCACTTTTTATTTTAAAACGATAACACGACTTTGTTCCGAATTTCTCGAACATATCCATTTTCCTAAAACCGATTTCATAGTCTGGAAATCGGCATTTTAGGAAACTCCTAAGCTTCCGCTACTATGGATTGCGTTTGACTCTCCCGTAAACGACTGATGGCCTTCCTGGCTACAGATTCAAATAACTGCAGATTCAACTAACTACAGTTTCAACTAACTACAGATTCAACTAAGTCATTTTGCTGAGACATCGT